CCAGGTGAGCTGAGCCACCGCCCCCTCCGCCCCTCCTACTCTGTTACTCTCCCTCCCAGTCACCCCTCGGCGCATCCCAGTCACCCCTCGGCACATCCCAGCGCCGGCTCTGCCCGCGGGGCGGTCGGCGTCTGGCGGCGACTTCGGGCCAGGCTGGGTTTGTCTCCATCTTGGGCCGCTGCGCCAGGCACCTGTGGCGGCCGCAGGAGAAGCGCTTCCGCTGGCTTGCGCAGCCTGGGGAGGGCGAGAGGGTGAGAGGCCGGCTCCGAGAGTGCCCGTGGGGGGTGGTGGTATGGGCGGTGCCTCCCGTTCTTGCCTCCCAGAACCTCATGCTTCACCTTCCCTGCGCATCTCGGCCCTCGCCCAGTTCTCAGCGCCCCCAATGTCCGCATCCCACCATCTAGCTCTCCTCATTGCTTATCCCATCCCTTTCTGTGTCTCCTCTGCCCATCCTCCCATTTACTCTGCCCAGGACCCTGTCTCTTTCTGCCTCCACCCCTGCTCCTATTGCTTCTTCCTGCTCCCATTCCCTCTTCCTTTTCCCTCCCACCACCCCACCGCACTCTCTGCCACTGCCCCCAGCCCCAAACCTCCTTTTCTTTTATTCCTCCTGCCCTCCATCCCTACCCCTTTGCCCCACAGCCCCATCTTCCTTCAATTACTGTCTTTGCTGCTGGGAAGGTTTTGTAGCCTAGTTTTGGGGATCGTGTTGAAGACCTCCCTGAGTCCCGGTGGGCTTTGAGCGAGAGGGGTGGAGAAGGGAGCCCTGCCTTGGGGAGGTTGTTGGTCTGGTGTGTTCAGGCCTTTGGCCCCGCAGCGAGAGACGGCCTGTACAACTGGTGTGCAGAATGCAGCTGTGTAGACTCTGTTTCCTGTAGGGTCGCACAGTAAAAGGGCCTGTGCGTCCATCTCTGGTTTGTCTACGGGTAGGGGGTGGGCCCATGGCGGTGCATGGGTGCCCCTGAGCATGCAGGTAGGGACATACGAGCCACCAGGCTGCTTCTGGTTTGGGGCAGCTGGGCCCGGAGGTTTACCTTCTCCACCCCAGGTGCCTCCTGGGAAGTGTGGGCAAATTCTCCTCAGGGGAGGAAGCCCGGGGCTGGTGGGAGCTTAGGCTTCTCTCTTTTGACCAGAGGTCCTTGGGGCCACTAACTCGCAGTTACCCTAGAACCCTTCCCTGGCACTGCTTGTTTCCTGGACTTCTAGTTCTTAAAGGCCCTTCTCTGTGATGGGCAGTTTTTGTCCCCTCTAAACACTCCCTCTCAGGAATGTTCCCTGCTGCATTGCCCAACTTTGGCCATGAGCCTTCCTGTCAGGCCCCCATTCGCTGCTGCTGGGATGGATCAGACTACCTGCTGAAGATTGCCATACCCTCACTCTACAATGGGTGATTTGTGAGGTGTGTTACTCTATCTGGTCCTGGGGGTTAAGGTCCAGATTTTAACATTTGAGCAGTTTCCCCTCCAGACCATGTGGGTTTGACTTTCCTATTTTGGTTTTGCTGGAAGCAGAAGCCATCATCCAGCCGCCTCCACCCCTTAAAAGGGGGCTTACTGGATGCCACAAATGTGATCTGAGATGGGGCCTGCTTGCGGTGGCTTTGGTTGTCTCCCTCGGCACCCACCAAAAGGCCTGTGCTCCTGTACTGGGGCGACATAGCAAGAATTGGAATCTCTGACCAAAAGACCTAGCAGTCCCTTTGCTTGGTTCAGTCTGGAAGTGTCTGCAGAACTGGGAGCTTTTATACAGAATGACCTTAGTTGACTGCTGCATGTGAGGCTGGTTGCTCCTCCATTTACTGACAGGCAGAACTGAGGCAACAGGACAGTCTTACATTGGCCACAGGGCATTGGCCATAGGACATTGGTCACTTCCCAACTTTGATTGGCATCAAATAGGGCAGGGAAGAGAACATTAAAGTGCCATTTAAAGAACACTAGGGGTCTTGGATACCTCTATGTGCCTGCCCTTTATCTTGTGCTAAAAATATCTTCCCAGGGGCTCTTTAGGGTGAAACCAGAGCCTTTTCCATGGTTTTTAAGGCAGATGGGCTTGCCATTCTGGCCATTTAGAATGTAGACTTCAAACTTGTGTGTGTGTCCATGCACGTGTGCCTGCATGTGTGTGCATATCCTCTCAAATTAAGGTTTGAAATAGACTGGGAAACTTAGTGTCATGATGAAGACATTGAGGACACTTGTGGTGGCTAGGTCCTAGGCTGGGACGAAGGTAGGAAGGATTGGGAAGTGAAACTAGACACCTATGGGGTATCTCAATAGCTTCCTAAAAGGTCCTTTCTGCCCCTCCTCCTATACCAGTTCCTGTGATACCTTGAGCAGAAGTCACTCCTGTTGGAAGGGGGAAGAAAAGATTATTATTAATAATCACCATTCCAGACAGTCCACATATGCCATCACATTTAGTCTTCATAACAACCCTGCAGAGGGGATTTACTTCTGTTTTGCATATTGGAGAAACTGAGGCTCAAAGAGATTAGGTGTCCACCTGAAGGCATGTATGTAGGAAGGGCAAGAGTGAGGATTGACAGCAGACCCCTTGTCCTGCCTGCTCACCCATGGCTCCAAGGCACATTTGATCAGCTCCCCTCACTCCTGCAAGGCCTTTCTTTGAGGTAGGGGGTATGGGAAACCTTTCCTGGGGGATAACGTGGGGGACTTCCCTCAGAGCCCTTCCCTCCTTCAGGCCTGGGAAGACCAAGCTATAGGAGGAATACCCTGTTGGCATTCAGCTGTGCGTTCTTTAACATTTCTAAGCTGCTCCAGGTCTCAGTTTTGTTACCTGCCACTGTGGATTAGGAAGGGGACCAAGGGATACATACCCCCTCCTCCCTGGGGTCTTTGTGGTCACTGCTCTTTCGGGTCATAGCTAGCCCTGGGCACTGGGCAGCCACCTGATGAGACAGACTCAGCAGGACCCTTGTCACCGATGGCTTCTCACTCACTCCTGGTGGGGCCTGAGGACACCCTAGCCCCATTCCACCCGTTTCCTCAGCGGGGCCAGGGCCTTGCTTGGCTCTTTATGGCCTTGCTCCCTAGGAGGGTCTGGGGTAGGTAGAGCTCAGCCAATGGCTATGTAGGCTGTCCAGATAGGGTCTCCTTGGTGTTCTTAAACTTGTAGCTGGGTGGTTATTTGCCTGCCAGGGGCCATCGGTGACCATAGCCTTGCCAGACAGCAGGTGCACCTCCTGCTCTCCTGATTCCAGGCAGCCTAAGAAACTGCTAAGAAGCAGGTGGGGTGGGGGTACAGTCTTTGTTCCCTCTTATTTACTTGTTCCACTGGCATGTCCTGGGTACCACTGCAAGTGCCAGATAATGTGCTGGATGCCGAGCTCAAGTTGAGTCAGGGCAACAGTTAATTAAAAAGATGACAGTGGAGGGTGAGAGTGTCCAGGATGGAGGTCTGCATAGTGCTTCGGGAGGGAGTAGGGTACAGAGAACCACAGATACTCCCGGGTTTGATTCCTGGCTTAGCTACTCACCAGCTGTGTGCCCTTGAGTGAGTCACTAAAATTCTCCAAGCTTTGACTTTCTCCGCTGTAGAATGGGAATAATGATGTCTCGTGATGTTGCTCTGACAAGTAAAAGAGATTGTGCTGGACAGGATGTGGCACATTCTGGCACATGGTGGGTGATTTGGTACTGGGAGCTATCATCATCATCATCATCATCATCATCACCACTGTGATTGTTATTGTCTTTGTTGCTCTTCTTTTTTACATGTCCATCATATAGCTCCTTGAGGGCTGGGCCTGGGTCATAGTTTCTCTTGGCTACTCATCCTTTTCCAATCTGGCTTCAGCCACAAAGAGCAGGGAAACTTCTACCCAGGTTAGGGCTGGGTCTAGAACTGTGCAGTTTAGTATGGTAGTCATTAAACACATATGACCAGTTCCTACTGTATTGAACAGTGCAGAGTAGAATCTTGTCATCACCGGAAGTTGTGCTGAACTGGACTCCACAGCAAGCCTTGAGCTCTCAGAGAACCGCAGCTCCAGAAACATCCTCACTGTTGGCGTGAACAGGCACCAGCCATCTCCTGAGTGCTTGGACAGCAAGAAGTTTGTAATTATACAGAAACTGAGTTCCTGCGGGCCCTTCCCACATTCCCTTTTGGGTGGCCTTGCTCACCTGGCCAGGGTGGTTGGTTTTTTGGCAGTTCTTATCAGCTCAGGAGTGGGAGGGCAGGACTGGAACTGCCCAAACTGTACCTGTTGCCTGCTGTCCCTGCCCTGTTTCTCCAGCTCATCCTGCCGGGCAGGGAGTCCCAGGCTGATGTTCCTAATTCAAAGCTTTGGCCAGGGCTAGGCTAGGCTGATCCAGATGTCCTGACCCTATTCCTTCTGGGGCCTTCAAGTGCTCTGAATATTCACCTCTTCCCTTCTGCTCACTCCATTCCTTCCCCTTGGGCACCTTTCTTCTCTTTTCTCTCCAGGCCCAACTTACATGACGGGGCCTCCAGGAAGCCTTTTCTGATCCATCACACAAAGTAAGGTCTCTTGCCTTGGAAATGCCCTCCACCAGACCCTGTTTTTAACACTCAGCACTTTCCTTTGTGATTTGCTCTTATATTCACTTTTTCTGTCTGTCAGGCATACAGCAGACATTCTCTGAGTGCCAGCTATATGTCAGGTCAGTACTGGGCGCTGGACAGACAGAAGGGAATAGGCCCTAGGCCTGCTTTGACAGCTTCAGGTTAGTAGGAGGTCCATGGTTAGCCAGACTCTTCCATCCAGGCCAGGCAGTGCTCAGCCAGACATGGTGCCAGCCAGCTGAGGAAAGCTTCCCCAGGATGAGACACTGAGGTTCCCCAGTGCTGACTCGAGGCTATAGATGGGCCCGTGGACAAGTCCACAGGGGTCTTTGTGGCTGGAGGAAGGGACAGGAATGGCAGAGAGGAGGTGGAAAGGAGGTTGCAGACACACTTGGCAAGAGGAATTTAAACTTTATGGAGGGTGCATCTGATTGGTGGTATGAGATCCCATTCCCAGGGCACAGCTGGATCTAAATTAGTCAGAGCCTGGCATGCAGTAGATGCTCGGAAGATGGCTGTGGAATGAATGAACAAATGCTGAGTCCTGCATGTAAATGGCTGGTACGGGGGTCTTCTCCTTGCCCCTGGAGCCTAAGGTGGGAGTCAGGAACTCCCTACATCTTCGCAGCTACCAAGACTGAGTTTCAGAGACATGACAGCTCAGCCATGTTGGGCGAAAGGGAATGGAGGTGGGCCATGAGAGAACCCAGGGCAATTCTCAGTGTGTCTTTTATTCACTGCTTGTTCATCTCATAAACTTTCTCTGGGTCCTCACTCTGTACCAGGGAGGCCCCATTCCAAAGCCAGATGGATAGTCCTGGGAGAAACGAGGCTAGTATTTACCAGTCGAGCTTTACTGGTTATTAAAATACTGCAATACTTCTGTGCTGATTGACTAAGAGCTATTGTCCCAAAGCCCCCGCCCACAAAGCCTTGGCCGACTTGGCCTCTTCCCTTGCTTTCCCTCCATCCCCATAATCTAATGGTAAAGAGTCAACAGCTGATGTGGTGGATGGTCTCCAGGACCCTACTCTTGTCCTGGTTCTAATCACTTGGTACTGGTTATTACATATTTGTAATATCACTCTTGTGTATGAAGTGTGATGACATTGGTTTGAAGTGTTTGGTGTCCTGTTACTGTTTTGCTTATGGTCAGGTAGGATGGGACTGAAGCTGTCCCCTCAGTGTGCCTAGCCCCTTGAGAACCTACGACAGAGTCCAGTAGAAGTGCTGCCACTGAACTCAACTCCACTCCTTTCATCCCTCTCTCCTGCAGGCAGCGATGAGCACCAGCTACCCTGAGCCGGGCACCCGGGCACCCCTGAGCCCCCGCCCGCAATCCCTGTCCCGGAGCTCTTCCAGCTTGCTGGGTGAAGGCGGGAGACAGAGGCCAGAGCTCCGCAAGAGTGCCAGCAGCACTGTATGGCAGGCCCAGCTGTGTGAGGCCAGCGTGGATCCCCATGTCCTAGAGGAAGAGGAGCATTATGCTGAGAGCACGGAGCAGGCAGGGGCCTCTAGCCCTCGGCTACAACCCAGTGCTGTGGGCCACTGGCGGAGCAGCACTGTGGGAAACGTGTCTACCGTGGGTGGTGGTGACCTGTGTCGCCTGCGGGCCCCCAGCGCTGCTGCCGTGCAGAGGAGTCACTCGGACTTGGTTCGTAGCACCCAGACCCGGGGCAACAGTGGTGCTCGGAAGGCCAGCCTCAGCTGCTCAGCCCTTGGCAGCTCACCAGTCCACAGGGCTCGGCTGCAGCTCAGCAATACTTCTAGCCAGGAATGTCAGGCCCCTGAAGGCCTGAAAAGGGACCTGGCTCTGGAGGATGAGACTTCAAACTCAGACTGGACACTTAGAGAGAGTCAAGTGTGGGTGCCACCACTAGACCTGGGAGGCACAACCACCCATAGCAGCAGTCCCAAAGCTGGGCGCAAAGCCACTGGGCAGTCAGCTGCCACCTCCTGCCATGTTCTGTCCCCAGAAGATCTACTCTGTAGCATTAGGGAGATGGGGGCAAGCGGCTACTGCCACGCCCTGCCTGCCACAGGGATCCTGGCCTTTCCCAAGCTGGTGGCATCAGTGAGTGAGTCTGGGCTGCAGGCTCAGCATGGGATGAAGTTCCAGTGTAGGTTGCCTGGGGGACTTCCTGGGCATTCCCACTGCTGTGCCCACCTTTGGGGTCCTACCGAATTAGCTATGGAGACTGGAGCCAGGACCAAGGATGTGTGGACCATGACCTCAGCCAGTGACTTGGCCCCTATGTTGGCATCCCCTCTGTCAGCCCAGGATGCTGGTGTGCAGGTGGCCCCCATGGCAGTGTGCAAGGCTGTGGCTACAAGCCCACCCCTTGAAGCCCCCGTGGCCTTGCATACATTCCCAGAGGTAACTCTGGGGTCCAGCCTGGAGGAAGTTCCATCCCCTGTGCAGGATGTACGATGGGATGCTGAGGGCATGACATGGGAGGTGTATGGAGCTGCATTGGACCCTGAGGTGCTTGGCGTGGCCATCCAGAAGCACTTGGAGATGCAGTTTGAGCAGCTGCAGCTAGCGCCTACCAGTGAGGACAGCCTGTCTGCTGAGGGCCGGAGGGGGCCACTTCGAGCCGTCATGCAGTCCCTGCGGCGCCCCAGCTGCTGTGGCTGTTCCAGCGCAGCCCCTGAGTGAGGAGCTATGGCCCTAAGAGCTGTTCTGGGCCCATGGACTCAGCCCCAGTCCAGGGACAGTGGGGCCACTGGCAGCCATGGACATGTCTCTGCTGTCAGCTGCCAGCAGACCACAAGACTATAACTTGGGGACTTCCTGCTACTCACAGCTGTGCTGGTTTTTAAGGGCTTGATTCCTAAGAGCCACATCCCTGCATGTCTGGACTCTGAACTTTGGGGCAGAGTTTCAGCACTGTGCATAAGGGAGATCCTGATTTTTCTGTAAAAATACTCGCCTTCTGTTCAGTTTCTCTTCAGAGCTCTGCCATGATTTCCCCCTAGGACTCTTGGTGGCTTTATTTTAAAGCAGTGCTAAGATTAATATAACAGGGCTTGGCTTGGCTGAGTCGTTAGAGAAGGGAACTGACACTATCAGAGACCTCCTTGTGTGCCACACACTGTGCTCCTTACTTTACCATGAGTCTTCACCTCTTCACCCTGTTTTACAGATGAAACCAGTCATTTGTTAAAGCTATGGCTGACATGTCCAGGTTGGACAGCTTGAAGTGATGGGCTAAGATTCAAAGTGGGGATAGCTGAAGCCTGGAGAGTTTTCCTGCAGCACATGGCCAGCACATGGCAAGGCAGTAGTGACCAAGAAGAATTTATTGAGTCCATATTCTGTGCCAGGTTCTGTGGATTCTTTGGGGAACAAGACAGAGGCTATCCATTCCCTCAGAGCTCACAAGTGTAGAAGGGGGTTACACCTCAGTACCAGGGAGCTGAGCGTTACAAAATAGCCGCAGGGTACTTCTAAGAGTCAGCTCCCTTGTAGGCCATTGTGTCAGGGGCTGGCCTCAGGAAGAGGTGGCCATCTGTCCCCAAATATGTCATAGTGCCTGAAATTATACCATTATCACCTCGTTCCTTTGGTTTAAGGATTTATTTTCAGCTGGTGCAGTTCTTCAAAAAACGGAGGGCAGGAATGGGGAAAAAGGG